TAGTATTGCCGCAAGATTTTAAAGAATTATCGCTTTTGGCCATTGAGGCAGACTTCTACCAAATTACCGAGTTCTCGGATGCAGTCAATATTGCAATGAGTGCCGAATATTCGCAGCAATGTCCGGTCTACGAGTACGTAGAATTGCAACGTAAGGGAAGCTATTTTCGTGTATTTATGTCCGAGTCTGTCTGGCACGAAACTTCACTACTGTTTCAAGAGCTGACGAAGCGTGACGACGACGCCAACGACTGCACGGAGGGCCAGGCGACCATGCTATCTGAGCACAGAGTTAGACTTTACGATCGAGGTTTTCGAGAGCCCAAAATAGCGTGGATCAACGGGAAGGGTCTGAGAAAAAGTGAATCCCCTCAAATATCAGGGGATTATTCGAACAGTTTGCGCTGGATGAAGAGTGATGATGGATTAAAACTAACGTCGCTTGATTTAAAGCGTGATATCTTGCTGGAGAGTGAAGATACGGTGGTGGTTCGAGAACTGAACAACATGGAAGAACCGGAAAAAATTCTTTTGTATACCGAGCTCAGTCGACTTGGGTTCCAACTAATCACTAGCAGTAATGCTCGGGACAGTGGTATAGACGTGGAAATGCGACTTTTTAAACGCAGTGTTCGTCCTGTTTTGATGATGGATTATACCACAGCGGATATAGCTTTACAGAACGTCCAACAATAATGGATGCACAACGACAAAGAACAAGTTTGTTTCTTAGGTCTATTGGTGGAATATATGCAAACCGAACAGTTATAAATTACTTCACGTAAGGTGCCTGAAACTGTTTTGATGCTTGAAATTGTACGATAAGTTACGGGTAAATTTGAATTAGTAAAATAAATCGATCCGATCCAAGTTTATTTCTACACTCAGAAAAATCTGACCAATTCTCACCATCGGAACAGGAATATCTGATGTCAGTATCAGTTTCATAATACCATTATAGAAGACTACTCGGCTGATCGGAAGATTCCACTCAGCCAGTCTGTCATTGGTATTGCGTGCTTTCTGCGTTCCGTTTAACAGTATATGTACCAGTAGTACTTAAATCCTCTTTGCTAATACACTGGCGTCAACAAACAAATGTTTATACTTATGAGTACTTATAAACAGTTTTTTATATATCAGCCTCATCCAAATCAAACCAAGAGAAATGGATCGACTCTGTCCACACGACCGTTCCACAAAGTCAACATGACGCGCCACTGGCACGCATGAGTTTACTGTACATAACCAAACAAGACGGCGCGTCATTGAAACAACAGAAAATTGTACATCAAAAACAAATTACTAGTTTTCGAATTTGGAATTCGGTAAAATGATTTTCCCATTTTATAAACAAAATAATCTGGGTGTAAAAACGAAGGTAATCAGGGCCCACAATATTTTCGCTTGTGTCTCAAGTCACATCACATCGGGGTCACATACATGGCAATTTTGACTACCGTTTGAGATCGTAAATTTGTAATTTGTATTTTTATATAATTTATAACGTACATAGGTGTATTGACTCCAGTTTACTGTCATTCGGATCCAATGCTTTATAGGTCATCATTTAATTAATTTTATATACAGTCGTAACTCAAACAAATTTGTTATTGTAGTATTTTTGATAACATGTTTGATTTAAATGGTATTGCATTGCATGCTTTTCTGAAGAATTTCAGTTTTGGTATAATAATAATGGGTGTTCCGCTCACAACGAGATCTCGCGATACGGCCTTGTCAACCGGTTGCACACAGTTCAGGCTTAGGTGGTAGTTATAATAGGACGTTATGTATGGTTACGCCACGAAATGGCATAACATATTTCAGTTCTCGGTGTGCAGGCATAACGTACTTTTCTGTGTTTTTCGGAAACTTTCGTGTTTGCGTGCGCGCATTGAGAAACAATTAGGGCTTAATGTGTGAAATGAGGATATTAGTATTGCGCGGCTGTTGCATCATGTGACACGAAATGCTTCCCATGATTGGGGAACCAACGTCTTTCAGACTGAAATATTGATTATACTTGTTATATGCAATTGTTTTATAACTCAAACGGATAATTTTGATATTGAATTTTGATCATTGTTTTTCTATTTTTGTGTAATGGTTTGGTGAAATAAATTCACGCACAAATTAATTAAATTTAAATTGCGTAACTTTATCTAATTCGACGAGTACTGCTATATTATAAGCATTGACAAAAAGGCTAGTTTTAAAAAAATGAATTACTGAGCCATTACATACTGAAAATATTGCAACGATATAGTCGGTTTGTGATATAGCATAATTAGGTAGATATTTGGAGAACCAGTTGAATGATTATGCAATACGATTAGCTACTGCGAACAAGATGGCGGATTTTATGATCTACTTTGTCAAAGTTGTCACGTGACACTGAAAATCGACGTGGAAATGGCAGTGTATTGTATTGTATTCAAATAAAAGTACGACTAACTTGAATATGATTTGAGTTAATGTCGTTTTGTTATACGACGGCAGTTCACATTTACTATACTTGCTGTGTTGTGTTCTATTATGTGCGCTTTCTGCATTGAGTTGTGAATATATAATTTATAAGTAGAGTATGTATTTTTGTATCAGCATGTGTAATAAAGTATGTACAACAGAATAATTAGTGTTGCCCGAGTACATTACGTATGCTTACAATGGCGTATTTCGATTGCGATCACACAGCACTAAAAAGGCTGGCGCAATTGCATATCAAACCTGTGTAGCACGCCCTCTGTAGTTAGGTTCGTTTTTGAATACTAGAAGGTTATTACGAATCGTAATAACCTTATTATTATACATCTTTTCCTTCCAAGGATACATCATGGGAATGCCGAAATGCAAAAAGTTCAGAACAGAATCAGCGAACTTCTTTGTATTGAGTCCGGTCAAATCCTGGTAGCAGCCATGTTTGTTTTTATTATTTTAGGACGCTTACGCGCGTAATTATTCCATATTTGGAATTCGCATTTCCTAATATGGTAGTATGAAAATACCCCGTAAAATACCGCAAAATTCCGGCACGCTGTAACTTATGGCGTTACAGTGACAGATGTATAATAATCATGTAAAACATGTCTTCTTAGCTAGCATGTTATTTTAGCTAATTTACCTAATCTCTAATTTCGCTAATTCACGATGCAGCTAATTTAACAGAAAGCCTATTCTCACAGGGATTCGACACTTTAGCTAAATTATGATTCTGTTAATTCATGCCAAGAGTCAAATCTGCTAAAATTGCATACAGCTATTTCAATATGCAATTATTTCCGAGCCTACTGCTCCGCTGACCAGAGAGGTACATGTATCAGTCGTCGCCATTTTGTTGCTATGGACGTGGACACGAATTCCCGAAAGAGGGCGTTTGTGCCACTGTTTCTGCCACTGCGTGTTCACACGAAATTTTGTTTAGAATTTAGGACTCTGATCAAAGAGTTTACGCCGAAGTAAAATCTGCCATCTTTACACCGGTGTGAACAGATCACACAATAAAAAGAACACTGTCGTTAAATTTACGCCGGTGCTACAACGGCGTGAAGTATGAACCAGGTAATCACAAAACTGATTGCGCATGCAAATCATTTGCATAGTTCGGTTGTCACATACTTTTTTTTCCATTTCTTAGTACATTTTCAGGTGTAACAACTGGGGTAAAATGACAGTGCTAGTGAGATGATTGACCACAAATGTGAAGGCTGCCTATGACAGAAGTACTATTGCGCAAAGCGCGAATACCAATCGGAAAGAGATTGTAAACGACATTTCATTTTTGGCACAGTGAGAACATAGAGTATTTATAGTCCTTTAACGGGAGTTCTCTTTTATTTTCGGGAGCAAACATCCGGGTATTATCACTGCCTGGCAACCACAAGCGGGGAAAACAACGGTCAAAAACAAAATACCTTGGGTTAGTTGTTGAGACTCTCCTGATTACCCTTACATGTGCAATATATACTAGTATATTCGTAGAAATGTAACTCTGCATGGGAGATCGTGGGGGCACACTCGTTTATAGTCGGTTATACGACTCTCATGTCATGTATGCTAATGTAGGCTTTCTCTGTTCAATATGTATCAATTGACGTCAAGTTTGTTTGTATAACTATTACTAGAGGTACAAAAAACAAAAAAGTGTGCTCATAACATCTGAAAATACAGTGGACCCCCAGTCCCAAAAAGCTTTGATTTATGTTATTGTTAGTGTCTCGAGGTTTTTGCTCTCCTCCCTTATATGGTTATATAGACAACATTAATTGTGCAAGTTTCTTCATATTCAGAATCATCCCTCCCGATGTCATGAACAACAATGTTATCAATCTCTGTACAATCATAGACAGTATAGTAGTATACTATATATGGTACTATCTGTATATCTGTCGATGACCTATAACTATTGAATGTACTCCACTATTTGTTTTCTGCATCTCGTCTGTCAGCTTGTCTTAGAAAATCACATGTGATAGCTCTAACTGTATCTTGCTTCTTATCCTTCTTGGACAATCTGTGATGTTTTAAATATTTATCAAGTTCAGATATCGTCACATCTTTTAGTCCACCATTTACAATGTCCAACGATTCAGAATTTCGAAAGTGTTAAAAACATGAATGTTTTCGTGCAATAAAAATGTACAATAATCTGTAAATATTGTGTCATTTTTTTCTGCACATAACAAAATGTCCTTGTCCCTCCCCCGCGCTATGAAAAAAAAAAGCAAGCCCCGCCCCTATTCCATTTCAAAATAGCTTTTTTTTCCCAGCCAAAGAAAATGACCAGTCCCTTGGTCGAAACTGATTAGCGGCCCTGCTGACTGAGCGTTAATCAACGGGACGTTCCAAGCGCTCGAAAAAGAACACTTACTTTAGCGCCGACGAACGCTAAATTTGGCGCGAAAGTAAAATAGATTCTTATAGTTCTAGAAGTAACTGTCTGCATTTCATTCGATCCTAAAATTCACTGATATACGGACGACTTTACAGAGCTCCCCGAAAATGACTACCGAACAACGCATTTCAAACGATCTGATCAACCTCAATGTCGGAGGAAAAATATACACCACATCTCGCTCAACATTGACTCGATATCCAGACTCGATGCTTGGCGCAATGTTTGGCGGAGATTTCCCAACTAGGTCCGACAGTAACGGCAATATTGTCATTGACCGAGACGGGGAGCTGTTCCGGTACGTTCTCAATTTTCTGAGGAATGGGAATCTGCGTTTGCCTGATTCCTTCCGCGAAGTGGAACTGTTGGAGGACGAAGCAGATTTTTATCAAATCAAACATTTCATACATGCTCTACGTGATTGGAAACTCAAGAAAGGGGGACAGAAGCAGGACATATCCGAGTATGTGGAAGTGGAAGATAGTCACGGCGTCGTGAGAGTCACTGCACCGGCCAAATTATGGAGATCTGTGCCTATGTTACGAAATGAAGTGAACAAGACCCAGAAGTATCGAATGCGTGTCTGGGACTACCACACCGCCCTCTATCACTGTTCGTCAACAGGGAACCTGCCCGATGTCAACGATCTTGGAAGATTGAAACTATTCAAGCAGCTCAGTTTCGAAGGTTACGATTTGCTTTCTATGACATCAAGCAGGACTGACGCCGTGCCCGGAACAGATCAAGTACACAGATGGATGTTTCGTCGCAATGTCGAGCATCGCAATATTGAAGTAATAGCGATCGACGAATCCGCCTTGGTGTTGGGCCAACAACCAAACTAAGGAACAAAAAAAAAATGACCCGTTACCGTGACGACTGCCTGGACTGAAAATAAGGGCGTTCAATTCGAATATTATGTAAGAAAGAAAGGTACAATATAGTTCATCTTCTAGGTGTGTTTGGGAGAGGGGTACCCTGTCGCAACGATATTGTAATGATTGTGGTGCCACTAATCCACGATTTATTAATATTACATCCAAGTAGCTTAGGATTATAGAAAGGGGTGAAGTATGGTAACCTGTACCATACCTTACCTCTTTTCCTTAACCTGAGCTACCGTGACGCAAACATTAAACAACAATCTAGTTTCTATGACATTATTTTTACTACCTTGAATTCAATTCAATTAATCTCAATAAAACGCAACTCTATATAGGATTGCATTTTAATTTAGTTTAATTAATTTGTATTCCTATATGGAATCGCCAATCATGGTTTGGTGGTGGTCCGTTTTAATTGCCCATCCGAAAAAAGTACTGAGGGTAGTACCATTTACAAGCAAGACAAAATTATACAATAGAAGGGTGGTGCACCATTCCTACATGGAATCCTAGTGCCTATCGTGGGAGAGATGTTATATTTACTGCCACATGTTGTATATTGACAATTTTGCACCCTCTTGCTGCTCGGAACATGCTCTAAAACTGATACCCCCAAGGTAATAATGGATGAGTCCATAAGACTATTGCTATCTCCCAGCCAATTTTTGCTGTATTCATTTACATATTATGCTAAACATCACTTTTTCATTTACATTTAACATTTTGATGACTGATTTTCAATGTGTCAATCCACCATCTCCTTCAAACGTTATGGAACATCGGATCGAAGCCGAGGGTGGTCATTTTATCAAATTTACAACTCTAAAATATATACTTTTTATTTTTATATTTTATTTATTTTACGATTTTTTTTTTATTTTTGTATTTGTTATGTTTATTGTTTTTAAAGTCACTTGTTTTCATTTTGGCGGCTTCATTTGACAATGGCAGGCATTCGTGTCTTGATTGTATAAGGGTATCTCCCAAAATTTTGCAAAATTGAAGGAAAAAAAACTCCACCCTAAATAAGAAGAAACGGTCACGACTCTGTTTTAACATATCAGGACCAGAGACAATTTTTTAAGGCTAAATTTCTGAAATTTACCATGTGAACGACCATGCCGAGGTAACCAGCCTCGATTTCAACCTCTAATCTCTCTGAATTGTCAATTTCGTTTGCCTTTGCGCATTATTGTGGTATTGCTTGCAATGCATGAAGATATGATGACAATTTAAAATCCATTGTTTCTAGGAAATCGACTTGTGAACATTCTTTTCGAGAACAGACATCCAATTCACATATATGTCAACTATCAAATTATTATGAACAGTTAAAGTTCAGGATTTTCTCCATAAATTATGATTTCGTCAAATGACATCCCTACAGAACTCCATGTATTGGTTTTGTATTTTTTTTAATGATAAATCAATCAATCAAGCATATGTAATTATTATTATATTGTATTATGTGACTGAAATAAAGTGTTGAACAATTATCATCGCCTGATATTTCACCATAAATGATAACATCAGGAAAATGGCGTGGAGGGGATGTTCTTGTTTTATTTTTTTTAAGAAGTTTCAGATTAGAGTCAGGTGAGATCTTTGGTGTCTAAGCACCGACTGAACGCATGCTCTAGACTGGCCTAGCATTTGCAATTAAATAATTCATTTTTTAAAATCTTGGTCCAGTCTGATGCGAGATTATCTGAATAGGAAATCGCATATTTTTTATTGTCACTTATTGGATTAGTTATGATTACTAAATTATATTGAGCGAAATTAGACTAGATAATAATAAAGGGTGTTATTTAAAGATTTAAACAATAATGAACGCCCTGCGGAGCATTGAGTTGCGAAAAAAAAAAAAAAAAAACGAGTTGCAAAGATGACCACGCCCATATTTCAGAAACGACGCCCACTTCTGCGAAACCACGCCCAAATTGTAAGTTGATGTCCAATTAACAATTAACAGAGCTTCTAGTTACGGGCAACAAAGATTTTTTTGTTTTGTTAAATGTTCATATTTAGTAACCTGAATGTTAATGATCAGTTAACCGAACTTTGAACTACGGGAAATATACAACATTAAACAAAATAACCTGCCTAAAGTTGTGTTAACTGAACATCGAGTTACAATTCCGACGAGTTCTGTGGGCGTGGTTTCTAAAATTTGGACGTGGTCTGTGACCCGGACCGTGACATTTACAGAGTCGTCGGTCTTTAGTTGATGTAGTTTCCCAAATAATGCAGAACTACTAACTACAAAAAAACAGAACAAATCCATCTCTCTGCGCTCTGTAGACATACATGTACATCCACTTTGTTTATCGCATTTGCTTGGACAAATCACCTACTGTTAACTTTAGTTTATCACATGATCGGGCAACCTAGTCGGGAGGCCACCGGCCCCGGGGACTGTGGCGGAGTCTAGAAGCACGCGCACTAGATGGCCATGGAGCACCGCAACTGAACGCGCTTTAGCGAACAGAGCAGACAACAATGTACTATTGTCTGATTTCGATATTGAAATTCATTGTCCTTGGCAATGAACCATTTTATTTGATGTTGACTAGTTACCTCAGAATTTTTTATCTTTATCGTTGTATTCATATTTATGGTACGGGGCCTAGTTGATGGCATTTTTATTCAACCAATCAAATCTGGAGTTATTAGCTGACCATGAAGAGATATTATTTACATCACACCTAGACATAGTTGACAGCACTTTAATTAAATCATAACCGCCAATGGTGATATATTACTGGCATTTTGTCAACCAATCAAGGTGATAGAGAACTAGCATACACAATAACAAGTAAACTTCAAAAAGCACACATGAATGTAGACTGGAAATTTATTGATTTTTTTTTTTCAGGTCTCACTTTTCACATGTTTCGTCAATTTTGATTATCTACATAATTACATTGTTTACTTGTTTTTTCTTGTAAGATCCAATATTCTACTAAAACCATCACCAAGTGATACACACAAAAGAGTCATCATTTTTAAAGACAAATTAAGAAAACATAATTTGACAGAAACAAATTTACAATTGTCACATTGGTAACTTTATTATGTACATTTGTTTTTCATCTTGGGTTAAATGTATTACAAGCTGCAGTGTGGGGTAAGATCATATTGCTATTGCTCATTCCTGCCACTGAGGGCGTAACACATAAATTTGGTGTTGATAAATAGACTACCGGTACAACTCTTTTAGAGTCTGGATATTACAATAACTATAATAGATTCCAGTGGCAGGGTAATATAAACACTACAACTATTTAGTCCGAAAACATCCAACCTAGCTACACTGAATATTTTCTAGTCAACAAATTTTGTACTTTAGAATATACCTCTCACGACAAATTGCAATTGATACATGATCATGCAGGAGATTTGTCATTAAAACTGCACTCAGACCAAAAATAAAGCTTTACTGAGATCTCAGGATATTATATGACATACTTGGTTAGTCAGAGCCATCCTTAGGACACCAGTAATAATTTAGTAATGTTCCAGAAGTGCAACTTCAATACCAAATTAGCTCACAAGCAAGCCCTATCTTAATATAGGAAATGTATCAAAAAGCAGCATCCTTTTTAACAAGAGTTGATTGTCTGTATTACAATTCTTAAATTCATCAGCAAAATGACACCTTGTGATAAATTACACATATACATCATTAATTATAGAAAGACGGACATAAATAAGATACAAATTGACAAAAGAACTGTCCAGAGTTACGACTGTATGACAAAAGGCTAGGTATTTCACTGTGAGCAAAGTGGACTGGTTCCCCATTTTTAAAGGTTGACTGTGCAATAGTATCATCTTGCCAGAATTGTTAAAACCAACAAAAATACGTTTGTACACAAAGATGCAATCACATTTCATTTTAAAAAGTTCTTTGAAGTATATAACCAATACATCATTCTTTAGACCACAGCATTTATAACCAGTTTAAATATGACATTAACACAGTGCCTGCTAAAAGCCTCCATAGACATACCTAAATCAATGGGAAGGTCCACCAGGCAATGCGATAAAAATGGTTTGTTACATAACCTTTTTGTACACAAATACACTATATACAGATTGCTTTATAATCTTGCGGTACTGATCTACAGATATGACATGATACAGCTTTCACAAAATCTGTAGCAAAGCATTGCACAGTTCGCATCATATTCCAATCATGCCTGCCTGGCAGATCTCACTTCACAGTATGGGATGCAAATACAACAAGTAGAGTGATAAAATCATGGATTCACCCCCACCCCACTCACTAAATGACAGATTGTGCAAAAGCTGTTCTGCAGGTGGCACTGAGAAAACAAAAATACACCATCATCCCACTGTATTCACACCAAAGAACCAGTCCATGAGAGATGAGCTTCTTGTTATCAACACTTTGGGGGCATGTGCATACATTTTGAAGTCTCATAACTATTTTTACAAAGCAGAAACCCCCTTTTTACGAAAACTATGTAATACTTTGAACGTGCCTCATATTGCACAAGTGCATGTGTTGCCATAGAAACTAATTGGACATAAATCACATATATATTCACAAAATACTTGATCATGTACAGGAGTAATAAAAAGATTGCTTACAGAGATTTCAAATTTCAAAACAAAAATCCATTTTCAGTACAAAGATGATTGAATCAAATTTACTACAATCGCACCATGTAAATTTACATAAAATTGCTTGCATAAATCATGAACTCTTTCATCTAGTAAGGGTTACATTGGAAAGATTTATTTATAGCGGGTTTATCTACTGGAAATTAAATTCACAAGACAAAAAAAAAATCCACTGCTGGCTAATATGTGTGTGTAGTGCTAAATAAAAAACTATAGTCAGGTCAAATTAATGGCTATACTGAATCAAAAGAAAGTTAAACTCTGAGAAAAACAACTTCGCTTCAAAGCCATAACCCAAAGACTGCAATGAGCACAGTTTACAGAGTGTATAATTTGATACAAAGTATTCCTCTAGTTATTTCAAACATGTTCAATATGTAAATGGAGTTTCCAAATGCGACAAAGCTTTTGTTTGGTAACTGATTCCTTTCATTTCTAACAAGAATGATATTTTATGAGTCTCCCAAAAGAATAATCATCAGTGAAAAACATTAATAGTTTGAATTAATGTGGGCACAAGCAGTTTATTGGTATAATTCTGAGCAGAATATTCACGAAAGCTCATCCTACAATGCTGTGATATTACATGGGAAGGGTACAGAAGAAATAGTTCTCTCAGAGTAAAACTTTGTGTGCCAGCTACTCGTTTAGTAGATTATTGCGTCCAGTTGACACACTTAGGTTAATCATCAGGAAGAAAACATTGCTGGAAGCTAGCGTAGCAGCTGGCGAAACTTCTGGTCAAACATGATTACTCGTCTGTTGAAGTAGTACCTCGTACTCCAGCAGTTTGTCGTTGCTGAAGTGAAGAATGAAAATTAATTCAAATGATCATTTGACAAAAATAAAATATAACTTAAGTTCTTGACAGGCTGATTCCATGGTTACAAATGAGGCATGTACGAGGTAGATATGCAAGAGGAACGTGAAAGCAGTTGAATTTAATTATGTGAACTGAATATTTAATTTTCACTTGGATTTTATTTAAAAAAAAGTCACAATGAGACTGAGAAGCATAATGGAACTGAAATACTAACCTTGTCCAGATCATCCTTTGTTTTTTCTTCAATTGCTCGGATATCATCCATAGTCAATCCATGCCAATTGTCAATCCAACAAAATAGCTGACGATGGAAGTTGGTGAAGATTCTCTGCTCAGTCTGTGGAATAAGCAATTTAAGACAATGACAACAAATTGAATAAGTTACTGAAGAACATATATGAGACAATTTACGTACCATCCCATGATAACACAGTCAAGATATGCTGATCTGGGACAGCAAGATGGTGAAAAATTGATTCCCTGCGAGAGCCGACAGCCACAATGCTTATCAGCAGACGAGTCGAGACGTGCACGCCTGGGACAGCAGACGAGTCGAGACGTGCACGCCGGCGACAGCAGACGAGTCGAGACGTGCACGCCGGCGACAGCAGACGAGTCGAGACGTGCACGCCGGCGACAGCAGACGAGTCGAGACGTGCACGCCGGCGACAGCAGACGAGTCGAGACGTGCACGCCGGCGACAGCAGACGAGTCGAGACGTGCACGCCGGCGACAGCAGACGAGTCGAGACGTGCACGCCGGCGACAGCAGACGAGTCGAGACGTGCACGCCCGGGACTGCAGACAGCAAAGACGAGCACGGCCGGGACTGCAGACGAGCACGGCCGGAACTGCAGACGAGCACAGCCGGGACTG